AGTACTTTGGTAGCATGACACAATAAATCATATAGTTTTTAACACGAGTATATACTACAGATATTACTATTTCTTATATTGTAATTTATCTCCACGTTTGTTATTAGAACAGTGGAGCATAAATTAAAACAGATTCGTTGCTTTCCTTAAGTAAAAATAACCTTATACCTACAGTCAGTGTGATTTTATACCTACAGTTTGCTTTTATAACAGTCAGGGTGACTTAATCACAACAGTCAGCAAGATGTTTTAGAGCCACACAGTTTGCTTTTAAACGACTCTAAATCAGTTTGTCTTCTCTCAACTAAGTAGAATTCACAAAAACGAAAACACCGAAAATAAAAAGAGGGGGCATCCGGATTTGAACCGGAGACCTCTTGATCTGCAGTCAAATGCTCTACCACTGAGCTATACCCCCTGTCTGCATGCGGGGCTTCGAAAACAATATATGTATTTATATATCTATGTTATTGTTTTATGTGTGGTTACTTTTAGGTCGATGAGTGTAAAGCTCTTGGTTGAACACAGTTTGATTTATAACGTCGATCGCTTTGAATGCCCGTTAATCTAACACGCAGTACATTACTTTTGACGCTCTGTCGCTCCTGTGCGCGTTGGATCGCAAGCATAGACTGTATATGAAGAGATCGCAAGTCTGCGCCTGATGAGTGACTTCATGTTTTATGCCAGAAACATTTATATAAAATAAATTTGAGAGCAATGTGACAAACACTCCAAGTCTCATTAAATGGTTGTGGTGGCTCTACACCATACATCGTTTAGTTCTGGTCCAGGATCTCAGAACATGGCGGATGTTTTTATATCCATCCACAGCTTCTGGTTTGGGAACGTTGTGATTGTGGTTTAGTGAATTGTATCATCCAGTTTCCCCGATTAATTCTAACACTAACACTTCTGCAGACATGTTGCTGTCGTCAGAGATGCTCCTGAACATGTCCAATACACAAAGGTCGAGGTATTGAAGTCACAATAAATAATACCAAATAACAAGGCACATGTGCAGATGGAATTATATCACATTTTAAATATATGTGTGGATATAAAAAAATAATATAAAAATAAAATTCTACAATCATAGTAATGTCAGTTCTCATTTAATTCCACTAGAGGTGCTCATGTGTTTCTTCCAGCGTGCGACCCCACTTTGAACCGGAATTTCCTGTTTAACCACTCGTCTGTAGTCTGGCAGGAAGAAGATGGAGGGATGGTCTGATTTAACACACAGAGGACGGGACTGTCTCTTTGAGCTGTTCTTTGAATAGGGAGTGATTCCCCGACTCCATTGTTCCGTCCATGCGGTGGGCCGAGGGGAGTCTGCCGGCTGGATGCGGTGTTCCGGGGCCGCTGGGTTCCCCCATGTCTCGGGGAGGCAGAGGAGGCTGCAGACACTGATGTTCCTCTGTACGTCAACCATTGAGTATTCATCACTGTTTACTGTAGATACTGTAACTCTGTCATTTATCTTCATGTTTGTTATTAGAGCAATAGAGTATAAACTAAAGCAGATTGTGCAAATATAACCTTACAGCCACAATAACTGTGATTTCCTACTGATTTAAAATTGTCTCCTTATCAATCAGGTAAAATTCATGAAAACATCAAATTGAACGTAGTTTCCGGATTGTTTTTACATTTAAAATAAAAAAACTGATTTAACAGTTGTTGAATGTACACCGGCTTAATATCTGCACCCTGGACTGCGTGGTGTTTTGGTTATATTCAAATAATCTAGCGATAGTTCCTCTTATGACTGTATTTTCATATCTTGCCGTTCAAATTTTATTATATACACAGTACAACATGTAGTGAAATGCTTTCTACGACTGTAAAAAAAAAAAAAGGATAAGAATTTAGTATTCACAGAGTGAAATAGTTTGTGGGGAAGGAAGAATTACAGACATGTAAGATTTAGTGCAACATCAGGCTGAGGTAGTTGTGGTGTTCAACATGTAATAAATATGATAGAGAGGACCGGAGTATTTTGTATTTCGTTTTGTCGTGTGTATTGAGTCTGATGTGTATATAGATTTGGGCAAAATACTGTTTAGTACTCCGTTTTCATGGCAGATATTTTTGAAATGCTACCTAAACACTGTTGTTTTTAAATGATTGCAACAGTTTTATTGTACTATTCCCAATACCTTATATGTTATTGATATGCTTTTATGAAATCATGATTTCTAATGTTCAATAAATATTATTCATATAAACGTGTAAAATTGTGTTTGAGAAATGCTAATATATTATCTAAGAACCAGTTTATAGTTTTAAGTTAAATTGTCACAAAAGCTCTATAATGCTGACGCAAGCAGTGCTATATTCATCTAAACAGTTCCCTGCCTGGCACTATTTTTTCACTGACTGTAAATATTCCTCCTCCAGTCAAGCTAAGCATGAGGCTTCAGTTAGACTGATTAAGACAAATGAAGAGTCTTTATATTACAGCAGTGTTTTATTGTAACTGTGCTACTGTGGAAACACACATTTCATACTGTCAGGGCTCTAACTAACATACACATTTAAATTTAATCTTTAATGATGATATTGAAATAAGTAGTTTCAGTAAATACAGACTTTTACTTCAATACTGGACCGTATACACTGACTTTACACAAAAACATCAATCATTTTATTTATGATATTTAAACTTTTTTACAACACAAAAATAACATATCAAGACAAAGTCAAACACAAACATGAACCACAAACAAAAAAAACTACCAGGTTACAGAATGCACCAAACTATTTTTAAAATATAAGGGTCAGAAAAACAAGATACTACTGATATTACTGGAAACCTGATCGAGTGAGGTTAAAGGCTCTAGAGCCCAAACTTCTGGTGGGTCAGACACAATGCAGTACAATTGAGTGAAAAGCAAACAGCACAAGAAAGTGTAATCCATTAAGTTCCAGGACTTGTGACTCTTCCCACTAATATGCATGATAAAAGGTCCCCAGATCCTCAAGGTATAAATACGCTTTCATCTATGATCATGATAATATGAGGGCTTGTTGTAATGCTCAGAAAGAGTCATTAAGTTAAATGGAGTCTTTATATCAAGCTACACTCCCTTATAATTAATATCTTCAAGCAGATGACAAATTGTTTTCTCTTTGTACCTGTGTCACCCTTGGTGGTTGCCGTACAAAATAATGGCTTTAACCTTGAATCACCTCTTCAGTGCCCTTCATTGAAAGTGATTGTAACTTCATGCACAGGAGGTTAAACACAACTTAATTTTCCCAAAATGGGAAAATGAAAACTATGTATTATTTGTACTTCTTTAGAATCAACAAACTGCTTTTATCACATAATCATATGAGGGCTTGTTGTAGTACTGGAGGAAGATTTCATTAAGTCACCGATTAAGTAATTTCTGGACATTCTCTTGACATTAAGCTACAACTTTGTGTAATTAATATCACCAAGAGCACAAACAGTTTTTTTCTTCATGCACTTGTCTTCCTGTGTGGTTGCTGTATGCAGTAAGCAAAAAAATACCTTAAAGGGATGGTTCACCGAAAAATTAAAATTTATTTTGAGTCCAGGAAACACTTCTGGAGACTCAGGGGTAAACAGCGTTGCAGCCAAATCCAATACAACTGAAGTAACTGCATGGTGGTGACTCATTCAGAGATAAAAAAAAAAGAAGAAGAAAAACAGGATCCAGTTTCGAGTTAAATTTGAATGTCGGCGCTTCCAGAAACTTGGATGACACCACAGGAGCAGTATAGAGGCATTTTATGTTTTTGGTTTTTTAACACTCATCCAATCTCAAACACTCCACCCACCCCTCTATTGACATGGTGGTGAGTAGATAATGAGTGAACTATCCCTTTAATATTTACAGATAATATAAATTCATGAGAACTGTGTATTGTTAGATAGAGTTAGCCTGGCCTCTTTGTGTGACAGTTCCCGCCTGCTGCTGTGGCACTGTGCGCTGTGTGTCTGGGTTATTGGACAGGGAACTAATTGCCTTTCCAGCTGTGAAACCAGCTGTCTCGAGGATCCCATGTTTTCTCCGAAAGCAGATAAAAACAAAGAAGGCTGTGGAACAGAGAAAGAGCCACAGTCCTTGTAAATCTCTCTGTCAGCTTACACGTCATAAACAACATAGCTTTTATTTATTTACATTTTCGTTCAGAAAAACTTGCAACAGAGACTCTTCTGTTCCATGGGGACAACAACAAGATGTTGTTGTTGGGAAGTAGACTCTGTGTTTTGAGCAGCTATAAACAGTCATGACATGGAATATGCAACATCATAATTAGCAGTGGGCTGGCATTGGCAGAATCATCATATTCATGTCTAATCTCAGAAGGCAGATTTCTTACTGTTTTTGTAGCTGTTTGGACAGAGGGAGGCGCCATTCTGCTGCTGCTCAGACTCCAGTGGATGATCCCATTAACACCTTTATCACACAATGTGTTGCTGGAATACCAAACAGAGAAAGACACTGTGCATAGAAATAGGATAGAAACACAATGAAAAGAAAAGAGTGCAGACGATTAACTTTCTTCTTCCTGCTCCAAAGCCTCATCAGCTGATCCTTGTGCCTCTGCAATCCCCATGGCAACAGACGAACAGCAACTAGGAGGAGAGAAAGGGTGTACTTAGAAACGGGGTGGTGTGTGGAGAGGGCGACATTTGGAAGGGAGGCAGAGGGCAGCGGATGGAAG